TGGAGTAACCATCTTGAAGCACTGCAGTTTGATGAACCTGTTTAGGTTTTGAAGGTCCAGGATTGGTCTCCAGCTGACAGATTTCTTTTGGACCAGAAAATAATGGGAGTAAAAACCCTTCCCTCTGTGCTAGGATGGGACCAGTTCTATGGCTAACAGTTGCAGAAGATGATTTATTTCTTCTTGTGGCATGGGTTGGTGAGAAGTGTCGTTGAATAGGAATGGGGAGGGAGGGTGGTGGGGCGGGATAGATAGGAAAGGGATGAAGTATCTTTCCCTGATGTTCTCTAGAACCAACTTGTCTGAGGTAATCAGCTGCCATGATGGAAAAAAGGGGCTAAGCGGTTGCCAAACCGGTGGGATGTTGGAAATGACTGATGTGACTGGAACAGGGGGAGGCTTCTAGGGACCTCAACCACACCTTCAAAATTGTTGTTTGGTTGATGGTGCATGGGAGGTATCCCCTTGAGGAACCCATGGTGCTTGACCCCTTGGAGGAGTCGCATGCCTGCATTTGGTAGGGGGCTTCTGTCGATGGCGTTGAATATTGTACTGCTGGCTAGGGAGTGTATTGTGGTGGTCAGGATTGTGGGAGAAGTTGATATTTCCCAGGGCACTGGTCTCTTCATCTCTTTGGCATTGGTGTGTAAGTGCCAACAGAGAAGTGAGTTGCTCGGGAATCCTTAAGGGAGTGTAGGGATCCATCCGTACACTCAGTGAACAATAGGGGGTCCTCAAAGGATAGGTCTTCGACAGTGGTTTGTACCGCCTTAGGAAGACCGGCGAGGTGGAGCCATGACACCCGTCTCATGACTATGACAGTTGTGATGAAATGGGAAGCGGTAGGCATGCAGTCCAAAGAGGCTTGTAAAGCTCTATGGGGCCAAGAAGTATCCTTCGGATATGAGTGCCTGGAGTCTTTTTTGTCATCAGGAAGGTCATGGCAGAATTCCTGTAGTTTAGAATAGTTGAGGTAATTGTACTTACCTCATAACTGGATATTTGGAATTGGAGCATAGCAGACGAATAAGCCTTGTTTCCAAATAGATCCAATCACTTCCAGTCTGTCATGATGTGTGGGTTGAGGTTGGTATTGGTGTCTTTTTTCTTGCACGGCACTGAAGCCTAAGGAATTTGGGGCGGGGTGAGAAAATAAAATTGCAAGTCCTCTGCGGGAACATAATATTTTTTGTCCACCTTCTTGCACGTCAGGGGATGGACGGTGGGGTCTGCCAGAGCACTCCGTCCATCCGGAGGAAAGAGTGCTCTGGCACTCCCTGCCAATGAGGCCGGATCGGGAAGGCCTCATTGGCAGGGAGGCTATTTTGGAGGAGGAGGATGTGTTGACATTTCATCTCCTCCAAAGGAATCTGGAGGAGTCTACAATCGTGCGAAAATGTCTGAAGTCGTCAGATGCAGTAGGGGGTGGAGGCATGATAGCTAGAGCCCTGTGCGAATACAAAAATGTGGATCCACATCAAATTCGCCAGGATCAACGTACGATCCAACCCGCAATCCACTAGCCATCTTTTACCTGTATCTGCATCCACAGCAGCAAGCCGTCTCACAAGGGCTAGCAATGGGGGGGAGAGGAGGATGGCAAAGGGAGCGAGTGGGGGGGGGGCGGGTTCTTGCAGGGAAGAGGCATTTCGAGAGTGGGGACTGGGGCTAAGGGGCAGTATGCGGGCAGGATCTCGAGAAGAGGGTGGCGCAGAGTTGGACTTGGGGGGAAGGGGCATTGCATCGGATGCTGCTCCGGGGGACTTGCGAGTGATGGCACACGGCAGCAGCAGTGCATGTTGCATCACAATGGGGTGGAGGGGTGGGGCGCTGGGGCCCCCTGCTCCAATCCCCGTGGCTGGGGGCCCTGCTGCCCAGGAGTGGGCAGGCTGGGCCCAGGAACATGGTCAGTGCTGCCGGGCCGGGCCATGGTGGGGATGCTGGTGCTGCCCAAGGGGACAGAGCTGCTGGACAGGAAGCAGCGTGGCGAGCGGGTGCTGGACAGCCCCAACTCCAACTTGCTGCCCAGCCCCAGCTACTGGCTGCTGTTGCCAGCCCTCAGTGTGCTGTGCCCCCCGGGCTGCCTGAGCCAGATGCCATGGGCCAGGCGCCACCGGCGAGTAGAGCCCTGCATGTTTGTATCTGCATCTGATCCACTATCTGCAAAAATGGTCTGCAGATATCCGCAGATTTGCAGGGCTCTAATGATAGCCTCATCAGGCAAGAGGAAGAGAAGTGGAGTGGTGGTAGAATTTCATCCTCCTGTTCTTCCTTCTCATCTGCTAGAGGGAGATGCTCAGCCTCTGGTGGTCGACAGACCGATGGAGAAGGCAAAGGTGTAGGCCTCCGGCTTTGCTCCATGGGAGGTTTCCCAAACTGTGCTCTGTACATGGCCTCAAGATCCCAGTAGGGCCAATGTTGAAGGAGTGGCACATTGCATCCCTAGCGGTCCGTACCAGGGCCCAAGTCCGGTTGTGGATTGTGAGTAGTGAAGACGAGTAGAGGAAGTCTTTTGAGTCTATCTCGAGTAAGAGTGTGGGATGGAGTACTCCTCCTCCTCCATGTCACTGGGGAAGGGTGTTGCCGTCCTTGGAGGGGAAAGGGAAGAATGGTGTGAGTCTGGAGAGATGGATGGAAGTAGAGGGAGGTCATGTCTGAGTAGTGGTGACTCAGGCACATCAGTGACAAGTCAGTCCTTGGGGTATCTGTACTCTTGGGGTGGAGGGAGGGGCGTCATTGGCCCAGCGCGTGTATTGGTGCTGAGGGAGAGATGCATTCTCCTGAGCAGTCAGCAGATGGAGTGGAAGACTTGCTTGGTGCCGAGGAGTTGCTCAGTGCTGAAATGAACCTTGGCGCTGATAGTGCTGTCAGTGCCATAATACCTGAAGTTGGCCTGGTTGGGACGGTTGGTACTATTCTTCAAGGTCTTGTGTCTCAGTCTGTAGGTCTGCCCAGTTAGGGTCTTTAGACCTTTGCTTAGCTGTGGTACCAGAGGTATTCAGACAGGCCCTGGAGCTAAGTCCCCTCTCCAAGGATATTGAGGCAACCAACCTCACTGGGGATGATGTTCTGGCGGGCGATGTCTCAGAAGGTGATGAGGGAGCCAGTTTCTTCTCAACAGAATGGGAAACAGAAGGCATAAAAGTGTTTTTTTTTTCCATAGGGAGAGAAGGAAAAGGGAGAAAATAACTACTAAACTACACTAAAAGGTAACAGGTAAGGCACTATCTAACAGGGCAAAAGGAGAAGTGGGCTCTGCTGTGGATTCCCTCCCAGACCAAAGGCGGTTAAGAAGGAACTGGGGGGCGGTTGGACCTCACAGTACTATATATATGTCCCGCTCCTGGCGTGAGATGGGGGAGATGCACATGTGTGGTCCGAAAGGCACTACTGAAAGATCTCAGAACCTAGGCACAGGGAGTGCTGCCACATCTGCAGGGGAGCATCCACAGAAACATCACTCAAGGAAGAACCCAATTAATATTATTAGTGGTGGGGGCCTACTGCTCTGCTTCTCTCAGCCTCCAGAAAGCTGCAAAAGGAGTGAGTAAGTGATTGTCTCCATTACTTTATACTTAGCTTCTGGCAGGGTAGGGTCTCTACTGCTCTCCTTTCCCATGAATCGCTCCAGAGCTTGCCTCTGGTGCTTCTCAGTGCTTTCCCAAGCAGCAGAAGAATGAAAGGTCAATATTCCAGTCAATTTCACTGCTACTCAAGGCTTCTGAATGGAGTCTTGTTAATTTCATTCTGTAGCTGTTGCTTGGAAAGGTGTAAACAGCAGCAAAGGCACTGCAGCAATCTGTAGATTCAGGAAGACAGCAACTGCTCTAGTTCATGTCTGAAAGTTCATCATCTACCAAAAGAGTTAGAAAAACTTGGTTTTGGAGGCTGCTTAGGCTAGGAGGAAACCTGGAGCAGCCTATCTTGTTTTTGTGTCATTCCTAAAAATGCTACTTTGGAAAGATGGGACTTCCAGGAATGGCAAATCATTCCATAGAACAGGATGGCTGACGTTCAAAACCATGTCGACTTCCTAGTCAAAAATTAATTAGGTAGACAAACACTGATTTATTTAGCTGGACGTGATTGTTTGGAGGTACACCAATATAAATGAACTGACTTCTCATATTTTAATGCTGGGTTCTTTCAACCAAATGTGGGACTTCCAGCAATGACATTTGATTTCAGCCCTCATTGCAAAGCACATGATTCAGTGTATGATCTCAGCCTACCTCTACTATACTAGACAGGTGGGGACCAGTTTAGAATGTGTCTAGAAATAATGCATATAAGTTTTCTTCTGGGCAGGTTAAGGTATCTTTATAAATGTCTTAGTTTATATGAACCACCTTGTACCACACGCCAAATGACCCTGGAAAGTGAGTGGTAAACATTTCTCTATCAGTTTAACTATTACTGGTGGGATGGAATCCTAGTGATTTCTTATCCCTTCCAGCTGTAGGGTGGAAAATACTATCTTTACTAGTTTGCACTGATGTCACACACTATGCATTCATAATACAGCCTATGGATTATTTTCCCTTCCTGGACTTATAGTACTCTATAACTCCAGGGATCAAAGACAACAAAAACCCATATGTAGAATGAAAAAGGGACCCAGAATAATTCAAAGAAGTGTGAGACTTTTGATAGCTGGATCCAAGATTTGACCCAAGGGAAAAGGTCTGAACTGTACTGCTCTAAAGTTGAGAGTGTTTGGACCAAAGGTTTTGACCAGCCCATTATAATGACACATACCAAGCACAATTTTGGATCTAGACCAGAAGATTCAAAGAATCTAGAGTTCAGGGGTATTTGATCTGAAGTTTTGGTTTGAACCCACCTCGGATAAGTGTGTATTTTAACAACAAAAGGCCACATAAATACAAGCTTTCCATAAAATGAATGAATTTCAAATACCCAAGTCACAGAAGTAATTATTTTTAAAATTACATAAAACATCGTATTTCTACTCATTTTATTTTTTAAAACAAATTTACCTGGAATACTTGCAGGAGAAATTGGACCAGATCTTGATTGGTTGCTTCCAACAGGAGAGCCTACAGGGGAAGGTGATGGACCCCCTGGGATGCCAGAGAGATGTGGGGAGGCATGAGGGGAGAAAGGTGACTGTGCAGGGTTACTCTGCTCTCCCTGGCTGCTTGTAGAACCTGATGCACTAACTGCTGAACTCAGTGTTGCTTCAGTTCCAGTGGGCAGGTCATCAATGGAGCCGGATAAATCCTGAGAGAGGAAGAAGAAAAAAAAATAGAGTACGAGTAAGAACTAACACCCAAGGAACAGCACCTGAAAACTAGAAGGGTAGTGAGGAACTCTCTGTGCTTGGGCGGAAACCGTTAATATTTTTAAGAAGTTATTTCATGTAGAAGATGATGACTGGCCCTGGCCCCTTGTCTCATTAAAGACCCAACTGCGATGTTTTCAATAGTAAGGAAGTTTGCTCTGGTCTGTTGGTTAAATTCCAATTTGTATAACTATATTCTACCAATCTAAAATCCCCTTCTAGTTTTAGCTGGATACGCTGTTCTTCACTTGTTTTTCTTAACTACTATATGATCTAAGTTCCCTGTAACCTGCATGGCTGTGCAGCAGCCTATTTAGTGCCGTGCAGGCGCTCAGGGAACCTGCCTGGGGACCTGCTGCGCCCCCGGCCCCAACTGTGCTGCGGCCCAGACCTGCCGTGGCTGGGGCACCCGGGCCTGCCACGGCCGGGGCAGGGCAGCTTGGCTTCAGGCTTGGCTGGTGCGCCCCTCATCTAGCCCCTGCCCGGACCTGCTGGGCTGGGGCGCCTATCCTGCAGCCCCAGCCCCAGAACTGCCATGGTGGGGAGAGGCATCTCTCCCCACCAGCCCAGGTGCTGTTGCAGGGAGAGAAAGCTGCAGGGAGTCTCTCTCCCCGCCATAGCCCTGGAGCACGCTCTTGCACCCCAAACCCCTCATCCCCAGCCCCACTCCAGAGCCCGCACACCCAGCTGGAACCCTCACTCCCTGTACCCAACTCTCTGCCCCAGCCTGAACCTCTTATCCCCACACCCCCAGCCGGAGCCCTCACCCCCTGCACCCAACCCTCTGCCCCAGCCCTGAGACCTTCATCCCTGACCCCACCCCCAAGCTTGCACCTCTAGCTGGGAGCCCTCACACCCCAACCCTCTGCCCCAGCCCTGAGCTCCCTCCCACACTCTGAACCCCTCGGCCCCACCCCATGAATTTTGTTATGTGCACCAATATGAAGGTGATGTGTCACACATCACCTCCAAATTGGTGCACATAACAAAATTCATTTCACACATGGGTGGGAAAAATTAGAGGGAATACTGTATACGATGTTGCTATACACTGTTAAACAGCTGCTGTGTTTCATTTCATATATGGCTGCACTGCCATTGGTGCATAAAGTGTTCCCTATATCGTCAAACCTCACTTATCTGAATGCTAGTTAACTAAAAATTTCAATCACCTGAAGGCTGGGTACAAGCCCAAAAGGTTTAGATTCCTAGATTCCAAAGCCAGAAGGGACCACTGTTATCATCTAGTCTGATCTCCTGTATAACACAGACCATAGAACTTTCCCAAATTTCTAGAGTGTATCACAGAGAAATATCCAATCTTGATTTCAAAATGTCCAGCGATGCCGACTCCACCATAACCCTTGGTAATTTGTTCCAATGGTTAATTACCCTCACTGTTAGGAATTTATGCTTTATTTTATTTTACATCTGAATTTATCTAGCTTTATCTTCCAGCCATCGGATCATGTTATAAAGTTCTCTACTTCACTGAAGAGCCCATTATTAAATATTTGTTCCCCAGGTAGGTACTTGTAGACTGTGATAAAGTCACCTTTAATATTCTCTTTATTAAGCTAAATAGATTGAACTCCATGAGTCTATCACTATAAGGCATGTTTTCCAATCCTTTAATCATTCCAGTGGCTCTCCTCTGAACCCTCTTCAGTTTATCAACATTATTCTTGAATTGTGGACACCAGAACTGGACACAGTATTCTAGCAGAGGTCGCACCAATGCCAAAATAACCTCTCTACTCCTACTCCAGATTTCCCTGTTTATGCATCCAAAGATCACGTTAGCCCTTTTGGCCACAGCTGGGAGCCCAGGTGCAGCTGACCATTCACCACAACCCCCAAATCCTTTTCAGAGTCACTGCTTCCCAGGATATAAAAGTTTCCCATCCTGTAAGTATGGCCTACAGTCTTTGTTTCTAGACCTACACACTTACATTTGACCATATTAAAACACATATTGCTTCCTTGTTCCCAGCTTACCAAGCGATCCAGATTGCTCTGTATCAGTGACCTGTCCTCTTCATTATTTACCACTCCCACAATTTTTGTGTCATCTGCAAACTTTATCAGGGATGATTTTGTGCTTTCTTTCAGATCATGGATAAAAATGTTAAATAGCTTATGACCAAGAGCCAACCCCTGTAGGACCCCACTAGAAATACATACGCTTGATGATGATTCCCTGTTTATAATTACATTTTGAGACCTATCTGTTATCCAGCTTTTAATCCATTTAATGTGTTTCATGTTAATTTTATATCATTATAATTTTTTAATCAAATGTTGTGCAGCATCATGTCAACTGCCTTACAGAAGTCTAAGTATATTAAATCAACACTACTGCCTATATCAACCAAACTTGTAATCTCATACAAAAAATCAAGTTAGTCTGACAGGATCCATACTCCATAAACCCATACTGACCGGCATTAATTAGATTACCCTCCTTTAATTCTTTATTGAGTCCCATATCAGCAACTCCATTATCTTGCCTGGGATCAATGTCAGATTGACAGACTTATAATAACTTGGTTATCCTGTTTACACTTTTTAAATATTGGCCCAACATTAGCTTTCTTCCAGTCTTCTGAAACTTCCACAGTGCTCCAAGATATAGCAAGCTCCTCACCCTGCTCTTTTAGAACTCTTGGATGCATCTATCTGGACCTGCTGATTTAAAAACGTCTAACTGTAGTAGCTGCTGTTTAACATTCTCCTGAGATATTAGTGGAATGCAAAGAGTTATCTTATGATATGACTACGTAATATTCCCCTCCCCAATACAGAACAGAAATATTTATTGATCACTTCTGCCTTTTCGGCATTATTATTGATAATTCTACCATTTCCATTTAGTAATTGACCAATATCACTGTTATGATTCTTTTTTTTTCTAATATTCTTAAAAAACTCCTTCTTACTGTCCTTAGATCTGCTGGCCCTAGATTTATCCTTGTGTCCTTTTGCTTCCTTTATAAATTGTCTACAGTTTCTAGCTTCTGATTTATATTCATTACTATTAACTTCCCCTTTCTTCTATATATATTACTTTTTATAGCTGTCTTTACTTCCCCCTTTTAACCAGGTCAGTTTTTTAACCAATACAACCTTCTTCCTCAATTGTGGTTTTTTGGGGGGCATCTAGTAAAGTGTTTGTAAACAATTCCCAATTATCTTTAACATTTTTCTGATTAAATTCTTCCTCCAACCTAATATACCTCATAAATGTATTCAGCTCTGTGAAACTGGTCCTTTTACAGCACCAGGTATATATATTACTGGCCTGGACTTTACTCTGTTTGCACATTATAAATTGATCAAGTCATGATCACTTGTACTTTAGATACCAATTTAACTTTTGACTGAAGCTCAAGCCCTATGGAGTTAGTTGGTTCTTCAGGATTGGACTTTAGTAAATGTCAAACAACTAGAAATGTTGCAACAAGGTAGAGGTGTAGCCCATATTTTTTCAATAGAAGTGGGAGCTCCCAAAAGTTCAGTAACCTTCTGTTGGAGGAAGCCCTTGTGTAAGCAAAAAGAACAGGAGTACTTGTGGCACCTTAGAGACTAACAAATTTATTTGAGCATAAGCTTTCGTGGGCTACATCCCACTTCTTCGTATACATAGAATGGAACATATATTGAGGAGATATATATATATATGTTCCATTCTATGCATCCGAAGAAGTGGGCTGTAGCCCACAAAAGCTTGTGCTCAAATAAATTTGTTAGTCTCTAAGGTGCCACAAGTACTCCTGTTCTTTTTGCGGATACAGACTAACATGGCTGCTATTCTGAAACTTGTGTAAGCATTCATACTTACACTGAGAAAACCCAAATATTGCAAAATGTTGTGGATTTTTTACACAATGACAAGTACTTTAAGGTTGTAAGGTATATGTTAGGAGGCAAGCTGATACTTCTATTAGCTAAGTAAGGTGCAAATAAAAGAGTTTGCTATTTCACACTTAAAATAGGTCATCTCCTACGTCATCTCATGACCTCAAAGTCTTCAACAGATTAAATAACTGGTATGACAGACCATTTACCCATTTGGTTCTAATCTTACTCACATGGTTCTAATCTTACTCACATAAGTAGTTCTACTGAAGCCAATATGATTAGTCACATGAGTAAGGTGTGTAAAATCTTGCTCCATCTGGGGGAGAGTTGATGAAGGGACAAATTATTCATGTACAAACATCAGCCAAATTTTTGATAAGCAAAGGAAGAAACTCTCAATATTTTTGTTGAATTTTCAATACTTTGGGCCAGATTGCAAAGAAGTATCCTTAAATGTAACAAATTTGCCATCACCTACTGGCCCGCTTACAAAAGACTCACCCTCTAAAAAAACTAGAATTTTTTGAAAACTTCCAAGTTGCATGAGTTTAAGTGCAAAATAAGCGTCTTAAAAACTCAACCAGTACAGAAAACACCCAACATACTGGACTCTACTCTTCCTTGCGCATAATGAGGACTACTGTCTGTCCCTAACCCTCCATTTTTGCTCCAAATCTGCTCGCAACATGACACTTTATGAACCTTCTTTCCAATTCAAATAAGATCTCCATTTCTGTGGGCACAACTTTGCACCTGTGATATTAATGCTTTTTCCTCTGAGCACAAAACCATAGGTGTAGTTCATTGTGCATGTAAAAATGGGAATCCATATTCATAATCTGACCCTGTATGTCAACAATGCACTGATTTAATAGTAAAGTTGCAACCCCCTGAAAATAGCGGTATAATAGTGTAATTGGCAATAAACTGTTTTTGTTTTGTCTGTTCTAAAAACTATTAATGTCGGTACAAAGTGTAAGCAAGTAATGAAGGTATTTCATACAGTATAGAATAATTATAGAGATTCTTAAACAGGAGTATATTTGACAAATAGGTAAGTAATTACTGCTTTTCCATG